GCACTGGTTAAATTGCAAGACAGCCTGCTAGATAACTCACGAATGTCTTGAGATTTTCCAGAAGTATCATGACAGACAGCAGAGCTGACTCACAGCTCACTGATCTAGTCCAAGGGGCTCCTGCTCCTATGATGCTCCATGCTTTCTAAATTTCCCTTCCACACCCAGCTCCCCCATACTTGGCTCTATGCTGTACATCTTTGGCTAAAGTTAGGCTAGTCTCAGGGGGCTACTTCCTTGGAAACCTGACTGTATGATTCATTCCATCCAAGCCTTGTGCATGGTAGCTCTCCCGCTCTGTCCTTTCAACTAAGTTCTTCCACAGAACTGACACGGAGGATTTAGTTCTGTTGACATTTTGAGAGAATGTAGAGCATTGTTTTATCTAGGCCTCTGCCAGGTTTTCTTAAAGGAGAAATACCTTTGAAGCCCGAGTCTCCCCAAATAACATGAATTTAGACTCAAAATAGAACAATCCTACCTCGTGTTGGACTAAATTTTAGAGTTTTCAAGGCACAGCCATCTCTATTTAGTTTCTTTGATTTTCACAAAAATCTAAGTAGAGGTAAAACCTATTTTTAGCAATTTCTTGTAGGTGGTTTGTGCCTCTTTAGAAAAGGATTTTTATCTGAGGACTTGGTGGGGGATACGATTGTAGCTCATAAAAAGAAAACTAAAAACGAAATGGTGATATTTCTAGGCATGCGTGGGAAAACACTTTCCTTCCCTGGCTAGGAAGTCCTTTCCTCTTCTACCACAGCATCTACGAAATCACGTCCTCTATGTTTCTGAAAGTGTGCTAGTTGATCCTTGAAAAAACTGAGAAACAGCAGCTGGAAATCAGAGCTCTCGGGGATAACACAGGTAACGATGAGTGAGGTCTAGAACTGTAAACGCCCAACAGCAGAAACACCTGTTCGGTCTCCCGAGTGCTGTGGCTGGGAATTTCAGAGATGGTTTGCTGGTGACGAACATCATGTAGCACTGACAGCAACCGGTACTAAAAGACGCCTGGCACTGTCTTCACTTCATGTCTGCTGATTAAGAGTTTAGTCAGGGCTTCCATCTGGACCCAAAGTTCAGCAAGAACCTCAAACTGGGGTTCCTGGTGGGGAATGTGAGTCCTGCACCTTTCAAACAAGTTTATGAGGTGCAAAATCCTATCAGTTGCTGTAAAAGTGTGCCCAGCTCACAGAGGAGGGCATTTGATGTCCTGCTCAAACATTCTTTGCCTTATTCCTTCCAGGGTGTTTCACTGATGGAGCCAGGGTGGCAGCTAGTGAGGCCCACAAATCTTCACCCCACAGTGCTGGGGTTAATGGGTGCAGCCACATTCAACTTTTTACCTGGGTGCCGGGACCCAAGCTCAGATCCTCAGACCAGCACACCAGGAGCTTTTACCCGCCGAGCCATTTCTCCAGGGCTCAGCTAGCATTGGTGGAGATAAAAACCACAGTGTTAGAAGGGACAGTATACCAGATAGGAGGGTAAGGTCAGGCAGTAAAGGAAAAAAAAAAACAGTGGTGCACTTGAAAATATAGCAATAGAAATCACTCAAATGAAGAAAGGTCAAATAATTAGAATTTTAAAAAATCAGTGAGTTTCTGTGTTCTATCCCAATAACTGGTAGAAAAAAAAAATAAAACCTAGAGCACAGGCACATGGTAGGTTTTTAGTAACATTATCAGCTAATGTAACCTACTTGGCACTTCTAGAGCATTCCACCCGAGAGCAGAAGGCACATTCTTTTGAAGTGCTCATGAAATACTTGCCAAAATAGACCATTCTGTGGGCCACAAAACAATGCTCAAGAATTTTAAAGGATTCGAGTCATAGCAAGTATGTTTTCTGACCCAAATAGAACAAAAGTAAAAAACCATTAGCAGAAAGAGCTTTCAAAAATCCCAAACATTTAGAAAACAAATAAAACACTTTATCGTAATCCATAACCAAAAATGAAATAAATTAGAAAGTATTTTGAAAGGCCTAAAGATAAAATTAACATTTGAGAGTCTTGGAGAGCACGGTGATAAACGAATTTTGATATTAAATGCTCATGCCAGTAAGAAAAAAAAAAAAAAAAAAAAGAATGGCTTCAAAGCAGTGACCTCAATTTCCATCTTAAGAAGCCAGAAACAGACAGACAAGCAATCCCAGAGTGAGCAGAAAAAAGCAATAACATTTAAGAATTCAATGAACAAGAAACGAGGAAAATTAGTAAGGCCAAGAGTCAGATCTCTGAGATCAATAAAATTGATAAAGCTATAATCAGATTCACCGGGAAAACTGGACACAAATAACCAGCGCTAGTAAAGAAAGAGGGGGCATCTTGCATGTTCTACAGCTTTCAGAAGGGCAACAAGGGAATGTAATAAGCCATTTTTGCATATAAATTAGACACACCTTTCTTACAATATGGAAATCCCCACAGCTCATTCAAGAAGAAATAACATAACTAGCTTGTCAAAATGACTGAATTGGTACTGGAAGTCTTCCCATGATTTTACCACAAATTCAACAAAACTTCTGAGGAATGATGGACAACATGTATTTATTTATTTATTTATTTATTTATTTATTTATTTATTTATTTATTTATT